ATCTTTCTTAGCAATTCACTAACATTCATGATGGTTAGTTTAATTCTATTGCAAAAAGTTGTTTCTCTACTTAGAATTTACAGTCTCCCTTATCATTTTCTGTCTGCGATTCGTTTATTTCTTTGCAGGTATATGTTTGGAGCAAGCAAAATCCTTTCATCCACATGAGTTTTTTGGGTCTCTTTACTTTCACCGCTGCTTATCTTCCATGGGTTGGTGACTCTTACTTATTTTATAAACTATTGAATCAATTATGCTATACATCTATACCCCATGTTAGATAGGGATCTTCCTATACATGATTTTTTGTTCATGTTCTTATAAAATAGAGGCTCAGTCTCCCTGGGTTTGTATGGTTCTGGGTTGCTTCGCATTAATTTTATGATTACTTCCTATCTGTTGGGAGGACTACTATAAAGATGAATGGTCCCTTGCAATATTAGTCATTCATGAATGCTTTAAAGTTTAAATGGCCGTCATTTGATATTGAAGAAAATTAGGAAGAAGTGTTTGTCTGCAGAAATGAATAATAAAAGTTGGTGGAGTTGTAAGGTTAATTCAAATTAAACTAGAACCACCTTGCTAATATATGTTATCAAGCTGTATTTATAAGCAGAAAATGAATTAATGGGAGTTTCCTGTGTGCTGCAGGTGCTTTTGGGCTTCTCTGTCCTTGTTGGCGCTAGTGCTTGGGTGGACCTTCTGGTATATAGTTCTACTAATTTAAAAACTGTTGGATTTATCCTACTTTATTGCAGTTTGAGCTTTGATGTTGTTTTAAAGTTATATGGATCATTCCCTCACAAGGTTGACTTAGTTGAAACACCATTGCTCAATGCATCTGCATAGTTTCTTTTCAATCAAAGATACAAAGAAAAATTAAAAAATCACAGACCTTCATTTAAGGTGTTCTTTATATATGCTCTGGTTTACTCTTAAGATCGACCTGACATGACACATTTTCATGCTGAAGTGGCAAATCATCAAATTTCCTATGTGTTAGATCCTGACCCCGACAATGTTTCATGCTTTACCCATTGCATGTCACGTTTGTGTACAGGGGATGATTGCTGGTCACGCTTACTATTTTCTCGAGGACGTTTATCCACAAATGACTGGTCGCCGACCCCTAAAGACTCCAGCATTTATCAGGTCATTCTTTGCTGAAGAACCTGTGGTAATGGCTCAGCCAGCTAATGTGCGCTTTGCTCCTCCTCCTATAGAAGAAGATCAACAGAATTGAACAGAAGATTGTTTTGAGAGTTGATATGTAGTTTTGTAAATTTGACCTGGATATTTTGGTAGAAAAGATACAGTTTTCTTCTTCTCATCAATGGTTAGGAGGTAGATACTATGTCTGTTTCATTCTTTTGTCATAGATCTTGGCTGATGCCTTTGCATTTCGCAAGTCTGGTTTGAGGAAGTATGGTGTATGTACTCAAACTGGATAATATGCTGATGTAGAACTTTATTGCGGATATTGCTTTGCAGATTGGTAAAATACCTTTTATGGTGTGTTTGGTTCGTTGTAATTGAATTCTTTTTTCAATGTTATTCAACATGCAAGAAAATTACTGAATCGATTCAGTGTTGCAAAAATCGCGCCTAGGCGCCGATTACGCCTAGGCGCTAGGCGGTCGGCCTCCTAGGCGCCCTAGGTGCTCTAGGCGGTCCCCAGGCGTCTAGAGAGTGTCTAGTGATTTTTTCAACATTGCATTCATTGGTTGGAGAGAATTGTAATTTTCTATTTTTATTGAATTGCAATTCATGACTCCACCCACATGAATTACAATTCAGCATAGCATAGAAATGAGAAAGATAAGAAAATCACTATTTTACCTTTAATTATTATTATTATTATTATTATTATTATTATTATTATTATTATTATCTTCCCTTTTTTCACCTTGAATTGGTCAAAGCAAAAAATCTTCCCATTTTCAATAATTCTATTTATTCTTACCAAATAATGTAATTTGAATTCTCATTTTATTTCCACTTTATTATTTTCGGACTGAATTATAATTTATTTCACTTCTAATTCCTTATTTCTAACCAAATTCCTTGTTAAATTTTGAGATTTTTTATATTAATGGAATAAAGAAAATTTCATACAAATATTTCAATAATACAGTAGTAGTTAATTAAAAACAATGTCTTATACTAATATAATTCAAACATTTATCTCACTTTAAACAAAATTATCTTCAATGCAATTTGTAATCGGATGATTTTATTTGGCATATTTCTAATGAAAAAAAAAAAGAAAAAAAGATGTATTATTATTACTATTATTATTTGCATTTTTTATTGAAATTTAAAAAAAAAATTATAGACAAACAACTTACAAATTCTATTCTTGTTGTGATAGTGACTAAGAATTTCTTTCATCACTCAAAAGAATGAAATTTGACCTTTTGTAAATACTAACGAAACAGATTTTATTAATTATTATATTCATTTTTTTTTAATATCATTGATAAAATTCAAACATTGTCCTGTGATTAATTATCACTTATCAAAGTATGCCCCGAAACAACAATGAAACATTAGTGAGGCCATCAAACAGTAATAAAATACGGAGTAATTAACAAATAATTTTTTTATATTTTTTATGTGAATAAAAAAATAATGATTGTAGAAATGTTTTTGGGATAATAGTGAAATTAACTAAAAACCATGATGCAACAATGTATTTATGACGCCATCGAACAGTAATAAAGCCACTGAGACCTTAATGGTCATAGCTTTTGCTCCCAGCATTCTCTGTTTCTAAAAGACTAAAACCCTAAATCTCATATCCAAAGCCTAACAACAATGGCAGCAACGATTCGCAGCAAACTCCGATCCATTACACTGCATCATCAGCCGCATTTCCGCCGCTTTGCGACCTCGATTTTGAATCCAGATTCCAAAACCCCGCTCTCAAGCAAAGAGAAATCTCGGGCTGCTCTTTCTCTGCTCCGGACCGAGACCAACCCGGAACGCATCATCGATATATGCAGGGCCGCCTCGTTAACCCCGGAGTCACACCTCGACCGAATCGCCTACTCCAAGGCCATTGCAAAGCTCCGGAACTCTAGTTACTTCGGGGGAATCCGGGAATTTCTCGAAGAGTCCAAGTCCCAACCTGGTTTCAGGTCAGAAAGATTTATTTCTCATTTTGTTGTTCTCTATGGGCAAGCTGGAATGCTCAATGACGCGATTCAGACCTTTGAGCAAATGGAGGAGATGGGCATCCAACGATCGGTGAAATCACTCAACTCTCTGTTATTTTCTTGCCTTGCAGCTAAAAATTATGGAGAAATGAAGAGAATTTTCGTGGAATTTCCTAAAAAATATGGGATTATTCCTAACTTAGATACCTATAATACGATGATTGAGGGGTTTTGCGACTCGGGTTCTTCTAGTTCTGTTTATTCCATATTGGATGAAATGAATAGGAATAAAGTTAAGCCGAATGCTACAACTTTTGGAAACTGCCTTTCAGGTTTTTACAAGGAAGAGAAGTTTGAGGATGTTGGGAAAATATTGGAGATGATGAAGCAACATGGTGTTGCTTCTGGGATTGGTACTTACAACATAAGGATTGAGAGCTTGTGTAAGCTCAAGAGGTCGAAGGAGGCAAAGGCATTGCTTGGTGGAATTTTGTCTAGGGGTGTGAAACCTAATTCTGTTACCTATACCCATTTGATTCATGGATTTTGTAAGGAAGGTGATTTGGAAGGGGCAAAGAGTCTGTTTAAGGAGATGGTTGATAGTGGCTGCCAACCAGGTAGCGAATGCTATTTTTCGCTGGTTTACTTTTTATGTAAAGGTAAGGATTTTGAGGCTGCAGTGAAGATCTGCAAGGAATGTATGGCAAAGGGCTGGGTACCAAATTTCACCACTATGAAGTTGCTTGTGGATGGTCTTGCAAGCACTTCAAAGGTCGAGGAGGCAAAGGAAATCATTGGACAGTTGAAGGAGAAGTTCTCTAGAAACGCTGACAGGTGGACTGAGATTGAAGAGGGGCTAGCCAAGTAGGGAAAGGAAGCATGGTAAACTTGTCTAGTTGTCTAGATTTTGAATAATGTTGTGGTATTGAATTTTTTGATCTTTCATGTTTAGCTGTTTAAATAGTTAGCATTGACTGTCTCCTGCTGGTTTAAAAGAATTTGATGGTGATATTTATCAAATACTCTTCTCCATAATTAATCCATTTGCACTGTTGTAGAACTATTTGTCTGCAGAATGATATCCAAAGAAGCTTTTCTTCTTGATTATGGTTTTGTGCATGTAGTGTTTAGGTGATAGTTCAATTCCATCCTGAACATCTTTTCTCGCATAGCATGTATGAAGTAAGGATTTTGGCCAAAGTTTCTCTGAAATCCTCTTTGATCTATATAATTGGATTCAATGATTATAGTAGCAACTTCACTCTAGTTTTTATTCAGAGCTATTTGAACATGAAGAAACTATGTCACAACAGAGGTTTTCACTTTTCAGCAAAGGACTCCAAGTAATTGCAAATTCTCCACACTACAATAATTTGAGCATAATGGTTGGTACATTCATAATTGAGTCTGTTTTCAAGTGTAGGTTGTTGCTGTAAATAGATATACTGGACAAAATTTCATCTTTTGACTGACATTGGTTGTTAGTTGTTTTTTTTGGGTGTACCCAAAGTTTCCACCGTCGAACACAAACACCACACACAGTGTCTAATTCCCTCGTTGAGTTGTAAGCACCTCTTTTTGGTGAGATAGCTGGTTAGTTGTTAGTTGTTACTGAACTTGTAAATAGCATATGCTTTAGGCTTTTTATTCCTGAGGACAGCATTCAAGTCTCTATGTGGCATTTTGAAGATAAATTTTCTGCCAAGGAGTCTTGTTACTACTTTATTCAATTTCTGTGAGATAGAGACTTCATCAGTATGTCTATCAATTAGCAATGTCACAGTAATTTACTAGTCTTTACACTTTAGCGTAGTGCTCATACATTATTATTTTGAGTTCAAAACTTTAAGACAAAACACATACTCTAACTTCTGCAATAACACACTAATTTACTCCTTAGAGTACATTATTATTTTGAGCTCAAAACTTTCAGATTAACTATACTACTACTGCTTATTTCACCATACACAAAACATTGACAGTTTACTGGAAATCCACAAAAACTCAGCATATAATGTAGTACGAAAACTAGAAAATCTCTTCCATGGAAGCCAACATTCTCCGCAACTAAGTTGATTCTTCAGTCACCTCACTGTTTGGCCTGATAATAAACAAAAGATTCATCTCAGTTACAATTTCTATTCTGAAAATGAGAAGAAAACGGAAACCAGAATGCCCTTCCTATGATCACTGGCCTACGTAGAAATTCTAATTTCATAACAACAATGGTTTTGCCATATATGAACAATTAGGCTACAAGCGCGAGTTAAGTATGAAGTTGAAAGATTACCTGGGAGTAGATGAAGGTTCCTAGTACTGCAATCGCGGCTCCAAGAGCATTGACAGGCTGAACAGGTGTTTGGAAAATTATGATGGAGGAAACTATCACAGAAATACGCTTCATTGTGTTTCCTATGCTAAATGTCAAGGGAGAGATCTCATCCAAGGACATATATGAGACCTGGTTATACAAATGATAGAATATGCTCTGTGCTGCCACCCACCTAATTCAACACAAAACAATAGAGACCATACATTAAACAAAACATCCTAGATTTACATAACAAACATACACGCCAAGTACTATGGCTTACCAAACAAAATTCGGTCCAATCTGGGAAATAGCTTGCTGCCAGCCTGCTGCCCACATCTGGGGGCCTTCCATGGCAATGGCAAAAGGCGTGAGAATCAGTAGAGACAATATAGATAAGCAAGCGTAGTAGTTCATCCCACTCACAGACTTTCCAGTCATTCCTCTCTTGGAGAATATATTTCTAAACACGAATGCCAAATTCGATATCATAGCCCCCATGAACCCTGCAACAACAATCAACAAAGTCCCAAATTCTTATCAGATCAATTACTTGATACAAACAACTCCCCTCTAGTGTTCTGAAATTACTAATTCCTCTCACCAATCATGTTGAAATTGAGCTCGGTAACTGCTGCAAGTGCACAACCACCAATGATTGGCACGAGGGACAAGTAAACCGGAAGAGGGAACGTCTCGCCAAGCAAAAACCTCGAAACCAACACACTAAAAGCTGGTTCACCACTCTTGATTATGTGTGTGAATGAAACAGCAACCTTTGACATGCTTACAGTTGCTGCTACATGCCCAATAGTATGTGCCACTGCAACCTAGATTATCATTAAACACATACATATGAATCAATGACCTCAAAGGCCTCATAAATTCAGGAAAACATTGAATCCTTAAACAACAAAAACAACCCAAAAAAAAAAAAAAGATCAAACTTTCATACCGGGAAGAGGTTCTTCCAGAATTCAAGATCAGTTTTTGGGGTCTCAGCAATCCTGGTAGCCCATGAAAGCAGCATAATCAAGGACCCAGCAGCCAGGGACAGGGTTGAGGTCAGCCATGGATATGGATAAGCATTGAGGACCTTCTTGTTGTATATATTGAACACCACATTCAAAGCCCACCAAGTGGCAAAGTAAATACTGATTTTCACCTTCTGGGCTGCCTCTGATTTTGGCACTTCAATGTTAAGGTCCAACGGCCTTGACTGATCAGCCTCATAGGCTCTGCAACTAGTCCTCAACTTCGGGCTCTGGGTTCTTGACTCCAAAGGTCCAAACTTTGCAACAGAGGCAATGTACAGAGGCCTCTTGATCGAGAGATTTTTGGTTTTGGCAATTTGGGTCAGTGGCAGAAACCTAGAAATTGAATTCAACTTCAAACCCAACCCCTTCCTGGGAATCAAATCAGAACTGGAGGAGACTGAGAAAGCTGAATGCTGTATAGAGCAGGCCATTGATTTCCAACCCTGAAAGAGAAAATGCAGCCAAGAAGAATAAAAGAATCTGAATAAATGACTAAGGAGGCGCAGAAATCAAGATCACAGGCCTTGAGATTTCAGAACATGCGGGTATATTTTCGGCGGATTAAACAAGAAACATAAAAAGATTGAAACAATGTTTATGAGATTCTTATTATGCCGATGTTGTTGAATGTATATGCTTAAGAGCAGGAAGTTAGGCGGCGGGAGAGAGGGGTAGGTGGCAACAACAATTTTTTTTATTTCTTATTTTTGGGGGGAGGCGCTGACAAAGAAGAAGATTTAAGGTTGGTAGAAGACTAGAAGCCTAGAAGACAATTCATTCCAAGCGTACGAGTTGGAGCGATCCCTCTTAGGACTAGTTTGGTTCGCGTAAAATATTTGTGGGATAATAGAATTAAAATTTTATAAAAAAGAATTACAAATTTATTGAAGCACAATTTATTGAATTACAAAAAAGAATTACAAAAAAAAAAAAAAAAAAGTTACTTATCTATCTGTAAATCACAAGATCCAAGGTTTTAATTCTATTGTTTGGTTATAATTTAAATTGAAAGAAATAATGAGTATAAAGACAATTATACGTTACACAATAATACTAATTAAGAAAAGTTAATGAGAACATAATTAATTCAAAGAAAACATTTTTCAGCGAACTAAACATGCCCTTAAACAGTCGTCGAATCTTTCATGGTATCTGCTTGGGATCTTAATAAACAAATTACTTAGGGAGGTATATTCAATCAAGACTTTTAAAGACTTTCAAATAGTTTTAAAGTGATGATTTTTAAATGACTTTTGTAGAGTTTTTGTAGTCTTTCTTAGAATCATTTATATTTTCATCAACTTTGTAAGAGTCTATAAAAATCTGCAGGACAAACATTTATAGACTTTTTTTTTAAAAAAAAAATTCATATTAAAAAGTCTACAAAAATCATTAAAACTCTAAATTGAATACACCCTTATAAACATTCCACAACTTCTATTAATACATTATTTTTAATTTTCTTACAAAAATATATTTTATAAATTATAAATAAATGAATGCATTGCAAAAAAATGTTAGCATATTTCAGCTAAAATCTGCTGCAAACAGCAGCAGATTGCTGCTGTTTGCATCAAAGCAGCAAGCAAATTTCTGCTGTTTTGCTGCAAACGAACAAGCTGTGCTATTCGCAGCAAAGCAACAGCAAATTTGAGTTTTAATAATAATTTTTGAGTAAATAACATTTTTTTATAATAACTTTTGTTATGATTTTTTTTTTTTTATAAATATGTATTAAAGTAATAAAGAGATAAAAATAAAAAGTATATAAGTATTTACGAAAGATTTGAAACATACCGTAAAATTTGATAGGAATTGATGAAAAACTTGTTTGGTAATAGGCGAAAAATGTTTGTAGAGAAAATTGAAAAGTTTGGAGTTTGAGGGTTGGATTTCATCAGTTTATATTAATAAAGAAAAACTCTACATAAATCCTATTCTGATAGAGTATATGAAAGTTGATAAGTTTTTTAATATCAATAGACTTACTCTATAAAAGTCTGAAACAAATACGAATATACTTTTGAAAAGTTTAAATCGATTACAGATAGACTTTTAAAGAGTCTTTAAAAGTATAAATTTAATATCACCAAATTTTTAAAGTCGTTAAAAATCTTTGAAAGTCTTAATTGAATACACCTCTTTAGTTTTTTTTTTTTTTTTTGGTTTTTTTTTTTTAAATCAACCTTATAGATTTTTCCTTAAATTAAATATTATAATTGAAAATTAATTTAAGTCAATTCTTATTAACTAAAATTGACATATATCCTTTATTTATACAATAAAGCTATATGGTTTGGGGAATAATTAATGTTACAATTAATGCTACAACATCCTTTATTATTAAAAAAAATAATCATATATTATTTTTGAAAAATAAAATAGCTATATATTATATAATCATATAAAAAATATACTTTTGAAAAATAAAATAGCTATATATTATATAATCATATAAAAAATATGTTCAATTAGAGTTTAAATTTACACATACAAAATTTGGAATTTGCTTTCCAAATGTAATTATCTTAGTTATTATTCGTATTGTGAAAATTATAATATAGATGAAATACAATTAAGAACAAATCAATGTAATTATGTAAATTCTCTCTATAAGTTTATTTGAATATGCACATAATTGGAGATTATATTAACCATACAAAATTATACTTTTAATTTTAATTTTAATTGTAATTTAGTATTTTATAAAAATAATAAATACTTGACCAATGGAAGCTCAAAAATATTATTATATTAAATAATTTAAAATATTTTAGTTTTTTTATTTTTTATTTATATTTATAGTAACATAATTTTTTCCCGTGCATCGCGCGGGTGAATTACTAGTTAACTATAATAAAGCTATATGGTTTGGGAAGTAATTAATGTTACAATTAATGCCACAACATTCTTTATTATTAAAAAAAAATACAATATTTGAAAAATAAAATAGCTATATGTTAGATAATCATATAAAAAATGTATTTTTGAAAATTAAAATAGCTATATATTATATAATCATATAAAAAATGTGTTCAATTAGAGTTTAAATTTACTCATACCAAATTTAAAATTTGCTTTCCAAATATAATTATCTTAGTTATTATTCGTATTGTGAAAATTATAATATAGATGAAATACAATTAAGAATAAATCAATGTAATTACGTACATTCTCTCTATAAGTTTATTTGAATATGCACATAATTAGAGATTATATTAACCATACAAAATTTTAATTTTAATTTTAATTGTAATTTTGTATTTTATAAAAATAATAAATACTTGACCAATGGAAGCTCAAAAATATTATTATATTAAACAATTTTAAATATTTTAATTTTTCTATTTTTTATTTAAATTTATAATAACATAATTTTTTCTCGTGCATCGCGCGGGTGAATTACTAGTATAGAATGAGGCAAAATCGAGAACGGCGGAGGCATATGTAATTATGTATGCCATGGGGCCATACCCCACCCCTAATATCTTTTTTTTTTTTTTTTTTTTTTAACATTATGTATAATATTAAACTTGCCCCCTTCAAGATATATTTATGGTTCTCCTCCCATCCAAATTAATCTTAGAAGCTCACACTTTTTTAACTTCTCAACTTTTTCAATTTCTCAGATTTTATTTTTCGTACATAATTGACTCACATTCAAATCCTTCCCAACTACACCTATGCATGCTTGTTATGTTAATTTTTGTTTTTGTTTTTGTTTATGGCTAATTGTTTGATTAATTTTTGTTTCATACTATATTTGTATTTTTTTAAAAATAGTTGTCGAATTTGATTTTAAATGTGTACCAATATGTGCTTGTTTGTTTAATTTAATATAATGTATTGTAAAGATTGCATAACATTTATGTTTGAATAAACAATTGCAAATAAGGTTTGTTGCAAAGAAGATAATTTTTAACAAATTATCATCAATAGTCTTTTAAACATGCGTAAAGACTTTCATTATTTCAGTACTATACTTTATATTAAAATGAAATATGAATTTTTTTATTGATTGTTATTTGTTTATAATGTACAATGGAAAGCAAATTGTAAAAATAACTTAATATATATTCATTTATAAATAATTTTCATGTAATGTAATGATTTGTTTGAAATATACTAAATAAAATATGTTAACATATTTAATTTAGTACGTAATTAATTACACTATCCAATCCTAGTTCCATCATGTTCTAAAAAAAAAAAAAAAAAACTCCATCATGAAATCATGTAAAATATTTTAATTTATGTGTATATCTTATCAAAATGCAGAGATGAAATAATTGAATGGAAGCACGTGACAAACTGGTACTGTCAGAACTTTTGAGATCCGAATTTCGAAAGGCTTGGGAGTTGGGACATAGGCAATCAATCAATCATATCTCTACAGTAAAATAATGTATGCACAGAAATATCATTCTATTAAAAATAAAATAAAAAGTATAACTAATACGGAGTATTATTTGTTTATTAAAAAATAAATATATAATAATATTATTGAAAAGAATACAATTAACTCTCCAAACAAAATCTTACCAAATAGCCGGTTGGTCATGTTAATAGTCGGTCGTTATGTATTACGTGGATATTTTTGTAATTTTTATTTTAGAATTTTTTATTTTTACAAATTATACTCCGTATGTTTTTTTTTTTGGTTGGGGGTAAGTGTATGATTGAGGAAAAAAAGCCTTAGTCACAAACTTGTAATGAAAAATATTAAATAATGATTACTTAATAAGATCAACGATTGTCAAATGATATTGTCAATTATTGACTTATTTGAATTTGTCGCTATGTAAACCCACATTAACATTCTTAGAAATAAGTAATTTCATTTTCAGAGCTGAAATATGAGACTTTTTAATTAAATTGGAAGAAATATATGTCATTTCTTTTATGACACATACTTTTCAATGAGATGACTATGCTTAAGTATACATAATACATGTCTGCAAAATAGAAGAGAAATGTATGATTCAAGAATTTCGAGTATATTGTTAAAGCTGGGCTACAAAAAGTTAGGTTCGGAATGTTGGGCCTGATGGCCCATTTCCATTTGACCCAACTCAAGGTAATTGATGGAAACATATTGACTGATGAACAGAACATTTAAATTTAACAGAAATTGTTTAGTAAAGGGTTTTTGTAATTAGTTTGGTAAGAGTTCACTAAGGGAAGAAGAAATGCAAGCAAATGATGAGAGGTGAGCAGTATGGTGTGCTGAGAGCTACTTCTTAATTGATTACTTCACAAATCCACTTTTAGGTAAGTTTGGTTGTTGTTGGTCTTATTTTTTGAAAATCAACTTTTAATTATTGAAAATATCTGCACCAAACTACTATGTATAATCTTTGTGCGGGTCAAATTCGATTGTGAAATTTAGAGTTGTGACATTTGAATGTGACATAGTATCATGGGATGGATTCGAGATTGTAAACTCATTTTAAATAGTATCATATGTCAATTAAAAAGAAATCGAAGAATAAAACAAATATATACGAGATTTATCCAATTCTGAGTTTCTCTTGTCACCAAACAAATTACAATTAGGTTAGTTTAATATCAATGTTGAAAAAAGCGCTAGGTGCCTGGGGACCGCCTAGAGTGCCTAGAACGCCTAGGTGCGATTTTTGCAATAGTGTTTAATATTGAATATTTGACAATTACAAATTTTTTTTTTGAATTATTGTCCTGTGGGCAAGGAAAAGAATGTGAAGAACAGTAGA